TAATATAAACTTTAACGTCTCGATTTGGGAGGCTTGCGCCGTTGCCGCCCGCCTGCAGATGCTCGCTTTGCTGAGGGGCCTCTGGATAGTACGCTTCCATCATGGTGATCTCATAACTCGCAGCGGATTATCCTCCGACACCGCTCAAGACCACGGGAACGACTGTGTCGCACAAGATCAGCCTTCCGCTCCCTCCGTCAAAGTTCTGAGCCTGAGAACCTGCTCATCCGTCAGCAGAGCCTGGGCTTACCCACGGGGTTTTGTCCCAACATGACCCAGTGAGTCCCGCGTCCGCCTGATGACTCCACCCTCCACACTTGTCGTCAACCCTTCCCCCTCAGCTGGGCTTAGCACATTGTCCCATCCCCTGTACGATTGCCTGGGGACGCGATGGAGTGGATAGACCGGGACCTGGACGGCCAAAGATGGCTGGCTGTGACGGCGCCGTGCCTTGCTGCTGCTCACGTTCACTCCCTTGTCTCGTCGCGCGGAGCTGGATGCAAGCTGTGTCGTGGGTGGTTTAGGTGACTCGTTCGCCGTCCGCCGGAGCTTTCCTTTGCTCCCATCAATCTCCCTTTCCTAGTACTCATCTCCTAGGTACCATATTGACGACGACCTCGACGACGACGATTCCTGTCCTTCATTTTAACGTGCACCGAGTCTCTTTCTTTGAACAGCTCATCTTTGTGTCCATAGACGATTCCTTTTCCCCATATTAACGGACCGTGGCTGGGCCGCGTCTTCCCGATCACTGATAACAACAACCCCTCCATACGTACCCCTCTATCGTTGCATCTGCAAACCTCGACGCGACTTTTGGTCATCATCGAACTGCTATTGAAAGTTGGTGTATATTTCATACTTTGCCATATCCGGGGTTCGGCTTTCTGGTTATTCCTGCCTTTCGGCCTTCTCGCGGAGCGGGAGACTGTCTCACGTCCTGGGCCAACACCGGCCGAATGCCCAGTATGTCATCGCAGCATCCCTAGATCCTCGGCAGTTGTCCTTGCATGATATCGGATGAGGTTTGGCATCTGAGGCGAATCAATAGCTGACTGACTTTTCGCCACAGGCAAGAACAAGAAACATGCTAAAGAAAACGGTGGAATATCTGCAGCGGTGACAAAGCAGGCTGCCGCTAAGCTCTCGTGAGTAGCTCCTTCCCTGTGACCCATCATCTGAGCCGTCTGGCTGACTGTTGCATCCCATCGTCACCAACAGCAGCAATCATTATAGCAACATTACTCAGGGGGACGGCAACGCTGCTTCCAACAAGAGTACGGCCTCCGACACTTCGTCTCCTCCTGCCAATACCCCAGAGATCAAGCCCTCGACCTCTCCCGATGATGGAAACCCCGTCGTTGCGTCGCCGATGCTTGACGCTTTGTCTACTATCTCAGCCTCCCCAAATACTGCTCCTAGTATGACAACAGAGTGGGCCAAGACCATCATGGCTGGTTCGCCTGGCAACTTGATCAACCTCACCAGCGAATCCCCGCCAACTCAGCCTTCTTCCTATGAAGAAGCCGCCAGACTGCACAACGGCTGGGCTACCACCCAGCGCCCATTCATGAGTCCATCTCCGGCATCGCCTTCCCCGCCAAATCATGGTCGGCGACCTCTTAGCCTTCAGTCAGACACCCATTATCACTTCGCCGCCACTCCCCCGCGATCCAGTGCCGCGTATCGACGAAGCTCGCTTTACTCGCAGTACAACCCTTCGCAGGCCGCAAGTCCTCATCCACCCCTACCCCATCAACCCCAACCACATTTTTACGGCGCTCAGGACTTGGACCTCACCGTTACGCCTCAATCCGGCATGAAAGCTGGTGATCGTGGACTATTTTTCGGGTTTGATAGGCTACCGTCCGAGCCAGGATTATCCTCCCAGACGCAAAAGGTGGTCTTGGCGGGCTATGAAGGTGGACTGCAGGTTTATGCCGTAAACAAAAGGGGAGTTGAGCTTATTGCGAGTTTGAAAGGGTTGCGTGGTGGAGTGCATCATGCCAAAATCCTCCCATGGACCATCACTGGCCAGAACTCGTCCTTCTTTCCGCTTGTGGCAGTGGTAGTACATGGACCGGTACTACCTACACGGCCAACGGATGCGGGTTGTCGACAAGAAACCACATCGCGTGAAACCTCGGACCGCAGCGCAAGTCCTCGACCAGGTTATGCCCCGCCAGAGGGTCCATCAACAAGAGCAGCACCGCCGATTCAGTTCTACCAAACAGCAGTAGAAGTCTACTCTCTCAAGACAAACAGACTTGTCGATGTTCTGCTCCAGACGCAGAGAGTACCTATCAATATGGAGGTCTCTCTATCTAGTCCTCTATTCCAGCCTCCTACTCCTAGCGGGGCGTTCAATATCAAAGCTGATGACGGTACTATTGCTGTGGGCTCCGGTGTTACAGGCGAATGTTGGATATACAAGCAGTTGCTTGAGCTGCAGAATGGTCACATGTTTGCTTGCGCTGGAAAGCTGTGGACTACAATTCAGCAAGGTCAACGAGCAGAAGCAGCAGCAGAGACTGATAAGAAAGGTTCTTCCTCTTCTCCCCGACGCTCTAGCCCACAAGCACCAATCTTCGCAATGAATGGAAGATTGATAGCCTACTGTCCGTCAAATCCTTCATCTCAAGCGTCTCTTAGAGCACACTTGCCGGTGCCTACCCTGGGCCGTGCTCCTGGAATTTCGTCCATGGCACCACCTCACCTCCCTGCAGTCTCTTCAGCTCTTGATCTGCCCATTTCAGACAGCATGATGAATAAGTTCATGCGGGAAACGACCCAGGAGCTGATATCAGGGATGAAATGGGTAGGGCAGCAAGGCTTGCAGGCTTGGAATTCGTATTGGAATCAGCCACCAACTTCTCAACAACAACAGCCTAGATCACCTCCTGCACAATGGACGGGATCGCGTGCACAACAAACAGATCCATCACAGTTCCCACCTACTCATGGGACCTCAACCCCAGCAACAGTAAAAGACCCGGGGCTTGTCTCTATTGTGGACGTGGAAAAGCTCCCGTTATCCGCAACAGTTCATCCTCTTACTACATTTGCGACTCCGCTCGGGTGCAGCTTTGTTTCCTTCTCACCTTCATCGTTGGCACTTTTCACTGCTAGCATCAAAGGCGATGTTCAGACTGTGTGGGATCTTTTGCGTATTCAACATACAAACTCCTCGCCGCTGCAGACAACCTTGGCCCAAAACGAAACCGTTGGGCCTCAGGTCCGGCAAATTGCGCAGTTCTCACGGATGACGGTGGCCAGAATTGTCGAGGTTGCCTGGTCTGAGCCTCACGGCGACCGATTAGCTATGGTTACGGAGAGGGGAACAATCCATTTGCTGGATATGCCATTCAGTTCTTTCATGTGGCCACCTCCACGACGCCGTAGGATACCACAAAAAGGCGGCCCTGAAGTTTCCGATGGATCAAGCTCAGCTGTCTCAATGGCCTCTGGTGCACTCGGAGCAGCGTACCAAGCGGCAAAGCCATTCGTCTCACGCTCACGCCGTGGAAGCAATAACACGGTTTCGCCATCTGCGGGAAATATGCTTAGGGATTCTGCAGCTCAGGGTGGACGGGTGATTGCGGCCAGCATTACTCACTCTTTGGGCAAGACCGGAACAGCTATCAACCAGCTTCGCCATACCGGAGAGAATCGGGTTTCTCTGCCACCAAACGCCATACTACCGTCACCGGCCTGTGTTTCGTGGTTGAGGAATCGACGATCCCAATCATTATTCTCCATTGGAGGTGGTCTGATACGAGTGTTTCCATGCAGCACAAGAACATCTTCATCGGTTCCGGGAAAGAGAATATCTCGGGCAAACAAGTATAAGGATATGAGGGTCCCGCTTCTCCCAGACGACATTGTCGCACCAATTGTTCGTCAGATCATTGAGCTTGGAGCTGCAGATGAGTATCTTGAACTCTCAGAAGCCGAGATGGAGGCAGGAAACACAATGACGCTTAAACCGCCCCACGTTGCGACTGCTCCTCGACATGGCATGGGCTCTACAATTCCACAGGCGGAGATAGAATCAAGCGCACCATATCAGCCTTTCCATACTGATCGGCGGGTTGCCCTTTGCGAATATAGGCGCATAGATTCTACCGCTGCTCTTTTGGCAAATGTGAGTTTGGATGGCAAGCCCAACAAGAAGAAGAACAAGCAGAATTTCGATGCTATGAAGGGCAATACGTCTGCATGGGCATTTGGTCAAGACATTCCTTGTGTGAAGATAGACTTGGGACTTGCGACGGCGAATGACGATGATTACATTGGGCCTGATGATCACATGGCGTTGCCTCAGTCTGCAATGGAAAGAGTTATGCAGTATGAAGGTTCAGAATCTATCGTGGTGACGACGAGACGTCGACGCGGTGCTCGCCAAGGTGACGGCGACGAGGATGGGTTCTTTGAAGACGACTGCGAGGTTCTCGACTTTGCGGATCAGCGAGTGTAGGTGTTGCGGGGTGGTGTCCGCGTTGGGAGGACGAGAAGTGTTCGGGCCAGGCATTTGGAATATTAGATGATGAAGTGGGGGCTGCCAGTCGTTGACTCGCTCAAAGAATGTGGCAAACACGTATGATGTTGGTTAGTTGGAGTTTTGCTTGTCTGTTCCTGCTTCTGTGTTAGCTGGACTGGTTCGAGTTGTTGCTCCGTTCGCTTCGCTGATGTTTCTGGGCATAATTGGCTTTAGCACTCCCCTTCATGGCTCCCTGCGAGCACCCAACAAATAAAGAGATATATAAATAAAGATGCCCTTTGAATCGGCATTCATTGGTACACGTGTATATAGTCTGCGATAATAGAGTGTTGTATCATTATTCATTTTTATTTATTTCTTCATGCCGGCGGCGCAAGCCGAATTATTAACTAGCCACAAACCCCAATATGCGAACAGCAATGTCGGGTTGTAATAGGGGGAGCGTGTTTTCCTCCATCAGAGCACTGGTGTTGTCACGATGTTTCGACAACACCGATTCTTAGTTCTTCTTCTTGGCAGCGGCCTTGGCCTTTGCCGCCTTCTTCCTATTACTTCTAATCATGACCAATCCCAAGAACGAGCCTACAACCGCGGAACCGAGAAGGATGAGGATGACGGGGATGCGGATCGCCCACTTGCGATGGAGGAAGAAGTCCTGGAGGGGGTGGTCCTTGTCGACAAAGGGCTAGGTTGCAGACGGGAAATTAGACGTGTTTTGCGCCAATGGGGGAAAAAAGGAGGTTCCGCGGGGGAGACGTACCATGAGAAGAGTCCATATCGTGTAGTAGAGGAATATAACGGACGAAGCCACGAGCATGGCGAGGCCGACTAGTTTGTCGATCTGGCATTGTTAGCATGGCTGGAGGACGGGGCGAGAGTTGCGATTGAGCGGGTTGGGGGGTACCATTGTTGAGACGCAGGCGGGCGAAACGACCAGACTCGTAAAGTTAAGGAGCGTGTAGTGGTGGTGGTGGTAGTGCGAGGGTGCGGTTTGATGGAAGACGTGGTGTCGTTGCTTGGACGCGACTCAGGAGATCTGGCGGCTTTGGGTGAGCTTGCTGGGGATTCTGGGTGTGCCACCTGCGGACCAATGGGAGTTTGCCGCGCGGCTGTGCGTGGGGCCGCCCTGGCTGCCGGCTATGCACTCCCTGTGGCCGGCGGGAGATGCAGATGCGGGAACGTCGATTTTGTTTTATTTGTCGCTTTGGTCTTGTTGTGCAGGGCGGAATTGCCACCATGGTGATTGTTGCCGGTTTTTTTTCCCTTGTGGCCTAGGGCCGTGGAATCTGGGTCAAACGGAATTGGAAATATCACTGCTTGGCTCACGGTGCCTTGTCAAAATGGCCTCGATCTGAGGTTTGGCACCTGTCTTTGACGGGTGTGGCGTCATCGAATGCTATGGGAAGTCATCTTTTCTCCATCCTTGAGCTGACTCATGGTGAAGCTGAGAGCGATGGGAGTGACTTTGACATGCGCTGTTGTGGCATGGCAAGCGAGTAAGGACCCCTTCATTGTGGTTCGGAGCTTAATTGCGAGTATTGAGTCGTGCAGAGATCAAATATTAATCACAAATCTAGGAAATTGATCGCCCTGTGAGGTAGGAGCTTAATTAGGTAGCATATTATTTGCTCAGCTTACATGGTAACTTTGGTGCGAAACCCGGACTTCTATGACGGTTGTCTGATGAAGTACTTTTTTGAAGTTTCCCTACATCACGACCCTCATTCGGTTTCCCCAACGGCCAAGACTGTTCTTGACTACTATGGAGCATATGTGTCTACTCTATTGCGTTCCTTGGGGGGGCAAGGGATATAATAATGACTGTCACCAGGCTTGGTAGCTTAGACTCACAAGACAGCTTGTTCGAATTTTCTGCCAGCACATGTCAATCTTAGCTATACTGTGAGAGCCCTGCTGTCATCAGAAACAGGCACGGCGCCCGAGAGGACCTTTCAAAAGTTGGAGCCTAACGAAGGAGATATAAAGCAAAGCCAACCAAAGACACAGCTGCCGTTACACCAAGCGTAACACCACCCACGAGGTAATTACCCAACATGATGATCAAGAATGATGCCGTGACTAACAGATAGAGACAGGAGACGATGATCCACACTCGCGCCTTGGATTTGACCGATCTGGCGCGCTGTGTTTTCGTCTTCCATGGCCCATGAGAGCGCGCACGAATCCAGATCCGGATCACGGCAACCGACACAACGGCGAACCCGCCGATCAAGACGATGACACCCAGCAAATCAAATAACATACCACCAAATTTTGCGAAACGGGTATTCATGCTGAGGCACCCTACTGCCAGCGAAGCCGGTAGGAAGGTGCTCGCAAGAATCGTCACCAGCGTCCCGTTCTGGCTCGTCTTGGCATCAACCTGCGCCTTGTACAGCTCGTAACGTCCCTGCTCGCAAGCAAAGATCTGCGTCGACTGTCTCCTGACTTCTTCACAGCTCACAGCAATGTCCAGGGCCACGCACTTCCAGGCCGGTGTCGCTTCGATGGCGTTGCCGGCGGATGCCTGAGACGCTCCCCATTGCAGGTGGCGAACCATGTAGTCGGCAGAGTTGGCCAAGTCGTGGCAAATATTGATCAAGGCCTCGCTACTGGCCATGATTATCTTTTGCCATTCGGTGACTGGCTTGAGGAACTTGAACCCGGCGTCCTTGTGCAGCTCTGTGTCGTCGTCTGTTCTATCCCGGCGCGCAGACTTGATATCTGCGATCCTGTGGTGTGACCAGTCGAGCCCCGTGTTTAAAAAGTACAGCAGCAGCAGTTTGGTGAAGAGGGGTCGGGACCCGTCGAGGAATTCCAACATGGGATTTCTTTGCCAATGCATATCAGAAACAAAGTGGTTCCACGCGCGCAGGTTGGCATGTTTGCCCTCTGGACCCTGCAAATACGACTGGCACAAAACTAGGGCCAGGTCAACAAGTGTCTCTGGTGAGGACATTGGATCAATACATGATTCAACTTACCGACTAGCTTATCTTCTTGAAACTCTATGCACTGTATCTGAGCTTGGAACTTGTGTAACCTGTATGCTGGGCTGTAAGGGAAGGACTCTTCCGGCTGGGATTTTTCAACCTGGAAGAGTTCCACGATGTAAGGCTGAGCAGCGCCATTCCATTGAGTCCGGAGCCTTATGGGGTTGTTTACGGCCCCGAAATCCGTGAAGTGATTGGGAGCATGGGGTGCTTTTGAAACTTCATGGCCGAGCATCCGTTCGATATGTCCATGGAGCTTTCTTCTTCCTTGGCCGTCCCCGTCGCGAGGAAGTACACTCCAGTAGATTCGTGCACTTTTGGTGCCTATTGGTCCGAGGCCAGCTAGGACGGCTCCGGTTTGTGCCTCGCTATGGCATTCCACGACGCAATTTGCTGGTGATTCGCCGTTTAGGGGAATCTCAAGGACTCTTAGCGAATACCCATCATCTTCGTCCCTGGTGCCATCTTTTTCAATATCTGAGGGAGTGTCCAGGAGTCTCAAAGAATATCCATCATCACACCCGATACTGTCTCTGCCCATGTACACAGAAACCTTTGTAGGGGTTTTGGTCTGATGTGAGGCCACAGAAGCATCGTCTCGGGAGGAAATTCTCTGTATGTACTCAGATGTGCGCATTGCAGAACCCCCACCAGATATTTTTCTGTTAGTGTCAGTCCCCATTTTCGCCGCTGCTTGCAAGACAGGTAACGTTTCGGGAGATATTTGTGAATATAAAGCAGCAAGTTGGACATCTTGGCCTCGCACTCCAGGAGCCCGCACCGCCCCTTCCGGTAGTGCATTCTCAGGTTGGATCAATGTTTCAGCGCTCATGTTCGCCCTTGCCAGTTTCTCTGCACTGTTCAACAAGCTTTGTTGGAGACCCCTCTCACTTTGAGTCCATGATGCTACCCGAGTGCTATGTTGAGGGGAGACAGCGGGCGTAGAAGACCGTCGTTGTGCTGTAGGGCTTTCAAGATCGTTGCCTGGCCTTGGATTTGATTCATCCATGCTTGCGGTCAAATTGCCAGAAACTTTTGTGTATGTAGCCCATCAACACTGCTCGTCTTCCTAATATACGGAGCAGCTTCGTCGACGTTGACCTTGACTGCTCAAAAGTAAAACGAGACAAGTGACACAGTCGGGAGGCACGAAACAAATTCAGCAAGCTTCGCTCTTTTTTATACAACCTGAATCCTTCTGTCTTCTTTACATGTACTGCATAGAGCTTTTCGTTCTGGCCGAACTTTGTCTCGATGATGCGTCAAGTAGTGTAATAGACCTCAACCACCCTCCCCGTCCCATAGACACGTCGGCTCCCACCTGGAGAGGCTATAAAGAACTAATTATAGCAGCTGTCTAAGTTGTGAACAGAATTGAATTTGTACTACTCGGCAGTGGAACTTCGGGGATGCACGACCAGGCCCGGTGTCATGTGCAACGTTGGGGAGTAGCAGCATTAGACGTTTGTGCCCGTATCGATGACACCGAAGACCGAAGCGGGGAGCTTCTGTGCGAGCAAGGTATTGGGAAATATTGCAGGACCAACGCCTCGAATGCTGTGACGCGATAAAACGCATACTCTTCCCCAAAACAGACAGACTTCCCCGGCGACATTGGACGTCAACCAGACATACGAGGCTTGTGGCTGCAGGAGGAAATTGGATTTCTCTGAGAAAGCAATGCTAGTCATGTTATACTACATATATTTGCAGCAGTTAGCAATTTCACCTTTCACACCGGTTCTCGTGGGCAACACCAAAAACAGTTGCTTAACGAGTTCATGCATGATTCATCAAGTACAAAGGGGGCACCAGGCTTTCGACAGACCAGTCACCAACAACGGCTGTAAAGAGGCAAACACATGTTCCAGTGGTAAATTGCCTTAGCAGCATGGACATGGTGCGACGTAGCATGTACTACATCCTCAACATGAAGCACGAGTCCAAGGACTTGCATGAAGTATACTCTTTGTGTCAAGTTTCAACGTAGGGGTAGCCGGGTAAAGGTTCCGAGAACCCACCGCGGTGCATGAATGCTCTCGTTATTGGGCAAGATTTTGGTTCAAAAAGCAGAAATAGAATTCCGCAGAAAGACTTTGGCAGTCTCCCTCCTCTCGTGTAACCAAGGTGGCCTTGCGAACCGTAAGCAGAACGGCCGTCTTTGATCTGGATATGCCCCAGCGGGGAGGTCTTTCTTTGGTGTTGAATAAAGGTGGCTAGACGAGCAACGTTAGTTACCAAGATATTACCATGTTCAATGTTGAGCAAGCCACGGTTAGCTTTATGCTGTCCCGAGGAGGACAAGCCTGAGTTAATTGTGGGAATGAGGTCGCGTGTTTATGTGCAAGTCAATCAACAGCTTCAAGGAAGTAGTACATGAAAAACTTGAACAAGACTGGTGCACCACGCTTGTAGTTGTAGGATAAAAATAATAAAGCTTGTTCATTGACGGGCGTATTGATCATCTTTGTTGTCCGTCCGGGGCGAAAAACGAATAAAAGACATGGCCACAGGGACCATGGCTTTGTTATCTCTATAGTTACCATGTACGAGTTACCTACCTACCTAGGTAGATAGTTATATTTCAGTGGTGATACGTAACGTTGGCTATGAGCATGAGAATTACCGGTTGCTAAAGCATCAGGCAGGTTTCCTGGTCGCCGTCGGCCTTGCAGAACGGGCATAACCAACTAATGAGACTGCCAATGTATTACTTCGCCGGCTTCCCTGCTCTCTGGGGATAATTCAACTGCAGAGTTTCATCGAATTAGATCATTCATATTTGGTTGGCTATGGAAGCTGTGAGGAACACCTGGACAGCAACGCGATTGCTTAGTTTACTAATTTATTCCCATTTCAGGACGGTTCAGATGCAATGCACATTCTACTTAGCTCTTTTGCCACTGTCCATGTTGCATCAGCTTCTGACGGCGTGTTTAACGTGGAGGTGGAGACAGCATTACAAGGGCTCGCCTGAGCAGACGGTAAGTTCGAATGGAGGAGGTAGTGCTTGCTGGAATACAACTCAGGCCCTTGAGGATGCTGCCGAGTTTGCAGCAGATTCTCAGGCCTAAGAGTTTGTCATCCAGAAGAGAGTGTTGGCGGCTTCGTCACAGCAGAGCCTCTCTCGCTTGAGGGCAGATTTGAACGGGGTGCAGGCTTGGCTTGTGGTGACAGCAAGGCAGAAACCTGCCTGAGAAGACGAAGGATCAAGGTTGTTGGCTTCATCCTGCACAAGATGGAGGCGTCAAAGTGGAGATAGATGGTGGGTGAGAATCAGTCTTCTTGCGTGGTGTTGCTCTTGAGCTCTTCGAGAATGAAGCAGTCGTGTTCCTACACTTCTATGTATACCTTCACCGTATTTCTTCCTCTGAACCAACATTAATCTAGATGGAAGTCAGTCTTGCCATATAGATGTATCGTATTCTGCCGGTCTCGAAGCTGAGGAAACAACACCGAATTGAAGCTCAACTGAAACCGTACGCTCCTACAAACAGCAACGGGAAAATATGTCCTAACCATATGGGTGGTCTGCTGCACAGTACTGGGTGTCCAGTCCCGTTAGATGGGTGCAGAGCCGAAGGGTGTCTATCGAGACATGTCCTCGCCACGTTCCACGCAAATGTCGGTGTAAACATGTAGCAAGAGCATCGCCACGAGACCACTGAGTCAAGAACTCGGCGTCTTAAATACTCTGCAACGTTGTTGGAGCCGTGGAGGCAATTCAAAAAGAGAGACGGCGAGAACAAATAAGTCTCATGACGAGCTCTGGCAGATATGTAGCAGGAAGATCACGGGTAGGGCATAGGGTAAGGGTTATGCGTCAGGGTTAGGGTACGGGGTAATGCCTGCGCGTTTGCGTGACTCCAGCTGTTGGTCCGTGCACACATTTTTTCCCAAGTCGGCCGCTCGACCTTGAAGCTGCCTTGGCGACCTTCAACGTGCACCGAGATATCCCTCGCAACCAACATTTGAGCATCCCAAGGCGCCTTCTGCCTTCTGTCGCTGTGCCAGTCGCAGAATCTCGGAATCAAAAATGGCGTCCGCCGACGTTGGCATTCCGCGTCGTGAGCGCGAACGCGAGCGCGGGCCTCAGCGAGAGGCCGACTCGTATCGTCCGCCACCTCGCGAACGAACGCCGCCGCCCGTGCGAACCGAGGAGGAGAAGCAGGCCGCGGCAAAGGCAGAATATGAAAAACTTCTCAACATGCGGTCTGGAGGCACCTACATCCCGCCCGCGAGGCTGAGGGCGCTGCAGGCGCAAATCACCGACAAGACAAGCAAGGAGTATCAGCGCATGGCCTGGGAGGCGCTGAAGAAGAGCATCAACGGTCTGATCAACAAGGTCAACACGGCGAATATCAAGCATATTGTTCCCGAGCTGTTTGCCGAGAACCTGGTCCGAGGACGGGGGCTGTTTTGCCGGTCCATCATGAAAGCACAGGCTGCCAGCTTGCCCTTTACCCCCATCTATGCGGCCATGGCAGCCATCGTCAACACCAAGTTGCCTCAGGTTGGCGAGTTGTTGATCAAGAGGTTGATCATGCAGTTCCGCAAGGGCTTCAAGCGGAACGACAAGTCTGTCTGTCTATCGTCCACTACCTTCCTCGCACACCTCATCAACCAGCAAGTCCAGCATGAGATGCTTGCGGGGCAGATCCTACTGTTGCTGCTGCACAAGCCGACCGATGACAGTGTAGAAATCGCAGTTGGACTCTGCCGAGAAGTTGGTCAATACCTCGAGGACATGCAGCCGTCTATTTCCGTCGCCGTCTTTGACCAGTTCAGAAATATCCTGCACGAAGCCGATATCGACAAGCGAACACAATACATGATTGAAGTCTTGTTCCAAGTCCGCAAGGACAAGTTCAAGGACCACCCTGCCATCAAAGAAGAACTGGACCTGGTCGAGGAAGAAGACCAAATCACGCACCGAGCAGAGTTGGACGGCGAGATTGACGTCCAGGACGGCCTCAACATTTTCAAGTTTGACCCCAACTGGGAGGAGAACGAGGAGGCATACAAAAAGCTCAAGGCCGAGATTCTCGGCGAGGGAAGCGACTACGAAGACGACGATGAGGGAGACGACGAAAGCTCAGAGGACGAGGAGGAAGAGGAGACAAAGGCAATGGAAATCAAGGACCAGTCCAACGCGGATCTCGTCAACCTCCGAAGAACAATCTACCTCACAATCATGTCGAGCGCCGACCCCGAAGAAGCTGTCCACAAACTCATGAAGATCAACCTCCCCGCCGGCCAAGAACCCGAGCTGCCCTCCATGATTGTCGAATGCTGCTCCCAAGAAAAGACATACACAAAGTTCTTTGGCCTCATCGGTGAACGGTTTGCCAAAATCAACCGCCTCTGGTGCGACCTGTTTGAACAGTCCTTCGCCAAGTACTACGACACCATCCACCGTTATGAAAACAACAAGCTTCGCAATATTGCCCAGCTCTTCGGGCACATGTTTGGTGTGGACGCCCTCGGCTGGCACTGCCTTTCGGTGATTCATCTCAACGAGGACGAAACTACGTCCAGCAGTCGTATCTTTATCAAGATTCTATTCCAGAGCATCGTGGAAGAAATCGGTCTGCCCAAGCTCAGGACCAGGATGACCGACGAGACGCTCCGCCCGAACCTAGAGGGCATCTTCCCCAAGGACAATCCGCGAAATATTCGGTTTTCCATTAATTACTTTACTAGTATTGGGCTGGGCGCGCTCACGGAGGAGATGAGAGAGTACCTGCAGAACATGCCCAAGCCAGCACTACCTGCTCCTGCGGCCGCAGCAGATGAATCAGACTCAGACTCTGTGTCGAGCTACTCTTCTTACACGGGGTCGTCGTATTCTTCCCGATCACGGTCGAGAACCCCCCGCAGAATTCGGGGCCGTTCTATATCTCGAACGCCCTCTCGCAGGGCAAGATCGCGCTCATACTCTGAGAGCCGGTCCCGTTCACGGCCGCGTTCACGTTCAGCGTCATACGACTCAAGGTCGCCGTCTCCCAGGCGAGGACGCAGAGACTCCTACTCGGCCTCGCCTCGACGACGATCCGTCTCTGGAAGCAGATCGCCCTCGCCGGCACCAAGACAAAGAGGAAGACGACGCAGCGCCTCGTACAGCTCGTACAGCCGCTCTCCGTCGCGCGATCGCCGCCGCCCTTCTCCGTCCGTCAGTCCGCCTCGCGGACGGGACCGTTCGCCGAGGGGCGGGTCGTACCGTCGCAACAGCTCTTCTGTAAGCAGCGCGCCACGCAATAAGCACAGGCGAGACTCCCGATCACCATCGTATGATTCGCGCTCGCCACCGCCCAGGAGAGCTAGAAGAGCGAGCCCTTCGCCTAAACGAAATGGAAGGAGGCCGTCCTACTCTGCATCGCGGAATAGGTCGCCACGTAGAGACAGAGACAGCAGATCTGTTTCCGTGGAGCCCAAGCGGAGATCGCGCAGTCCTGTGCCCGCCAAGAGGAGGAGATATAGCGAGAGTGTGTCGAGGTCGCCGCCTCCTGTCAAGAGGGGCCGTCATGAGGATTAATTAATTGGGCTGGAGGGCTAGATTGTCTGGATTGGAACCATAAATGTACAAAATTATACCATCAAATGCATTATTAGGTTGGGCATGTTTAGCTATGCTTGGCAATTAACTTATGTAGTTGTATCAAATTGACAAAAAGTCTACATCTAACGCCTTGTGTTTATTTCCATGGACGCATCGTCTGCCCCAATGTGCGTCCATCGCAGTTTATCGGCTGAGACGGGTCCCTCGACCGCAACGACGTGCTTTTCGCCGGGCATGATGTCGAACCCATTGTCGCTTAGTTTCATACCTTGCACTTCTTCGAACACGAAGCCCTTGACGGGGCGGTCTGAAGAGACGGTGACGCGGTTTTCGGATATGGCAAATGAGATTCCTCGATTAGACAGGTCGAGGAATTTGATGGGATCCGGCCACGCGGCGTCTGTGGCGACCACGGCGCCATCTATAGATAACGTCGTGTAGACTACATACGGGTCATACTGCGTAACGTCAAATGGAATGGTGTAGTCGTCATGATGTGGGATGGATGGTTTCAGGGGCTTGCTTGAAAATACTGTCGTGGTGGCATTCGCTGAAGCGCTCACGGATGCCGTTATGCTCTCAGAGACGTCTCTTCCTGAGCGGATGGATATGAAGCGTACTGTGACTTTGGCATTTACAGCTTGAACCTTGGAGCTGGCGATCCACACATCAAAAGTAGACTCCCTCGCGGGGAGAGTCTGGTCAACCTGACCCGTGCACAGTTGTGAATTCTCATCGATATAGTATCCTGTCTGCGTCCAGTCGTGATACGTCCTGCTCACACCGACATCGAGAGGCCTCAACGCCCGTGAGATGGCGTAGTATGCGGGTTTCTTGACGAGGTAATAGTCTACTACGGCCCAGGACATGGTTGGCCAGCAATCGTTGAGTTGCCAGACCAGTACGCCGCCGCATTTGCGATCTCCTGAAGTGCCCCAGTCACGACGCCAGGTCTTGTACGCGGCGCGCATGGCTTCCGCTTGCACGACCTGCGTAAGGTGGATGTAGGAGGGGAGGTCGTACTTAAGGCGAAAGTTCTCGGAGACGTAGGTCGTCATGCGGCGCTCGTTGAAGATGCCTTTGTTGTGAAAGTCGATTGTCATGGAGCCCGGGTAGAGCTGGGACGAGTGGGTGGTCATGCGTCGGACAGTGGATAGATGGGGGTAGGCTTCCATGCCGAATTCACTGACGAATCGACCACCGAGGAGGGATACTTCCTGGTATTTGTTGACGGCACCGTGCCAGACTATGTTTCGTAAGCGGGGTGGTGTAATTTATGAAATTAAAGGACGACGCTTGACTTACGGTTCCATTGGTGAATATCCCCGACTGTGGGATCGGCTGTAGGTTTGCCGTCACCCCAGGGGCTGGATGGATGATAGATCATGAAAGGATCTTCTTGCTTGACTAGCTCGGGAAGAAAATGCTCGTAGATGTATCGAGCTGGGAATGTTGATTTGAGCCACGACTCTAGGTCCTTGTTTTCAAAGTCGTAGTCGAGCCGGTATCGTTCTTGAACCTGGTAGTCTTCGTTGTTCCCTGCCCAAGCTACAACGGCCGGGTGGCATCTAAGTCGTCGAAGTTGTTGTCTGACTTCCATTTCAAGCGTCTTCATGTACGATGGATAGGTGGGATAGCTGGCACATGCGAATTGGAAATCATGCCATATGAGCACGCCAAATTCGTCACAGGCATCAAGGAAGGTATCATCTTCGTAGATTCCACCTCCCCACACGCGGACCATGACTTGGTTACCTTCCGCCATGAGCTTGATCCAGTCGTGGTAACGCGCAGGGGAGATTTGTGACAGATACGAGTCAGCAGGAATCCAGCATGAGCCCCCGCCGAACACGTCGACATTGTTGATGCGGAAGTAGAACGACTTGCCATGGGCATCGGGTTCTTGGATGAGCTCGGCACGACGGAAACCGATCAACTTTGATGTAGAATGCAGCTCTGCGCCGCTCCGCACAATGCTGGCCTGGAGTTTGTAGCGGGTTTGCTTGCCATAGCTGCGAGGATACCAGAGCTGAGGGTTTGCGATCTTGAACGGAACAGCATACTTGCCGTTTCGGGGGACAGGGGCTAGTTCTTCCAAAACCTTTCTGCCCTCGAGTGTTAGGGAGATGGCGAGTCGGTCATCAGGATGGAAGTCACCCACGACATTGGTGTAAATTGTGCCGGTGACCGCCTCCAGGTCTGAGTCAAGTTCGTTTTGAGCCCACACATCGTCCACGCGAGCAGTATACTGCTCAAGATATACAGGCTTCCAGGGTCCTGCAGTCATGATGATAGGGCCCCAATCCCAACCCCAGTTGTACTGGGCTTTCCTGACGGCCACTCGGCCAGCCTCGGTCTGTCTAACAAGAAAGCTGTGCTCGTGACTATGTTCCTTGACGATCTCTCGGCCACGAATCAAAGCAGAGTCGAATACAATCTCCAGAATATTGTTGCCGTCAGGTTTGATGTGCTCATTGATGTTGACCCGATAAGAGACGAACATATTATCTGTCTTGAGAATTTCTCTGCCATTGAGCAGCACTGTCGCAAATGTATCAAGACCTTCGAAGACGAGGTCTGTGACAGCGCTTGCGGAGGAGGCTTTTGGGGCAGGAAACGAGACGCGATATTGCCACACTTTTTCACCAATCCATTGTACAGCACGCTCATTCATGTCCACGAATGGATCTGGTATTCTGGTGCATGGTCAGTGGCTGTTTTGTGTGAATGAGGAATACTGTTTGCATGTAATACTTTTTATGAGCCAACAAATCCATGTGAATTTGACTAGGGGCCTGAGAAACGGGAAGCCATGCTTCTGACGGCCACTCCTGCTGTTTAAAGGTCCAGCCGTTGGTGAGCTGAATTCGTGTATATATCATGGTGTCTTGTGTTCGTTGCGGTAGAGCAGTAGTGACAAGAACAAAACGAGCAGCCAAGTTTTTTGTCGATACATGAAAGAAAAGTATGTTGAGCCGATGACAGACTCAAGTACTCTCCCACTCACCCCCACGGTGTGATTGTTGTAAACCGCAGAGGTCGAAAGCCAATGGTCTTTCTGAGGCGCCAGGTCCCCCACGGCAGAGTTACTGTCCCCCACATTGCGGGACGAGGCTTGCCATAGTCAACATTGGCGGATTTGATACGGGGATGTATGTTTCCGACAGCGCGAGGTGAGAGCATTGCGTTTGGCGTTGGCGGATGTCGTGGCGGATGGGCAATCAAGTCGGTCACCAGTGGTGACTGTCTAACAGCAACTTGGAGGAGAACGATGCTCGGAGCGACGCTGCGAATAGTTGACGGTTTACGGAGTTGACGGTGAATGTGCCAGCATGGATTAGGTAGACTGAGCTCGGGTTCCAGTCCAGGAATAGCTGCATGTGTCTCCATGGATGATTGATCGTGATATTCGATGCCCTGGCAGATGATCCGTGCTCTCAAATGTCTGCGGCCTGGCTCGAAAGTAGTCTCAGGCGACACGAGGAGCACGGAGCACCAAGTCTGCACTGGTCCCTTGTCCCCACCTGTTCAAGAAATGCCAGTGCTAGGTACTAAGTAGGTACTTTTGAGCCGCTGGCCCGTGGCAGCAGGTCTCTGGCACGGCGACCGAGCAGGGAGTAACGACAAGGTACATGCCAGACTTGGCAGAATCCGGGGTTCGCATGGACTCCTCGGCTTGGCCTAGTCAACAACTTCAAGCTGCTGCTGCTCAGAGGTTACATCACGTCTCAATGCCGCTTCATCCCGACCTCCTAGAAATGTCTCGGCACCCAGCATTGAAGCGCTTCCCATGTCCGCTCAATCTCGTACAGTTAACCTGCATGAACCAACTTGTGCCAGCGCCATAGCCTGTGCCTTTCTTCACAGCCCGCGGCGACATGTCCAGCTCGCAAGCCTCGGCAACATCACCACCGCCGCCATCCGGGCGCAAAGTAAACAGATCCTGTACTGAATGCACTCGTCGCAAGATCAAGTGTGACGGCCGCCATCCCTGCAGTAGCTGCGTCTACTACCGCAATGCAGACTCTTGCGAGTTCCGCCAACGCTCCAGGCGGAATGCCGTGAGCAGGAGGTATCGTGACGCTCTGCCTGCGTGTTGGCCGCGTAAACCCGACTGACCACGGCATTCGCAATAGCACTTTTGACAAGACATCCGAGCAGCTCAAATTGCAATCCAAGGTTCTGGAGACTCTCTTTCCCGGTTCCAATCTGAAAGATCTCTTGGAAAAGAGTCAAAGTGAGCTCCTCGAGCTACTCAGCGTAAACCATGTCTCTCCACGCAGCAAGGTGCATCAACTGCCTCCTCATATGCCCATCACGCCAGGTCCACCCCCCGTTCTTCCTCAAAGACGAGAACGAGAAGAAGATGACCAATTTGCCTCGGGCTCACCTGCTCAGGGGTCCGCCTCCGTGTCGGAAAATGAAGAAGCGGCCGAGGAACGCCAATGGGACGAATCTCTCGACCAACCTGCTACCGTTGCCAGTGACGATATCAACGCCATCGGATTGGCTGCAGACAATCACCATGCGCGCTCTTATCTCGGCGTAACATCCATGAGCGCCGTATTCAGAACCATATTTCAATTGTGCCCTGCCGCCAAGGAGCACACCAACAAATGTGCCAGATCGCTGGCTGCAGTGCCCTCACCAGTATATCCGACAGTGCCTGTTACCGGCAGAGACCCAGCACTGAGTGTTCTGCGGGAACAGCGTTTTATTGACTTTTATTTCGAACATATCCATCCCCTTACTCCACTATTAGATGAACAAGACTTTCGAAGTCAGTACGCATCTGGCACTCGTCGGGATGGGTCGTGGATGGGACTCTTGAACATGGTCTTTGCTTTGGGATCGATAGCTTCTGGAAGCGAGGGTTTGCACGAGCAGTATTATCGGGAAGCCCGCTCATTTACAGGATTGGATAGTCTAGGGTCTGGCAACCTTGAAAGTCTGCAGGCCCTATGTCTCCTCGGCGGATACTACTTACACTATCGGAACTCGCCCAACATGGCCTATGGCATCCTCGGTACAGCCCAGCGGGTAGCCATTGCGCTCGGTCTACACCGTGAACCCCGCAGGGCCATGGAGACACCAGACCCTGGCGAAATGGAATCATGTCGAAGGCGTGTTGAAACCAGAAGACGAACATGGTGGTCCTTTTTCTGCCTCGACACGTGGGCTTGCATGACCCAAGGTCGCCCTACATGCGGTCGATGGGAAAGCAGCACCATGGACACATACTTTCCATCGTGTCTCTACCCAGATGACCAAGAGGCTACATTGCTCCGAGCCAACATTGAGTTCTGTCTAATCTTCGAACGGGCCCAGCATCGCTACGCCCAGTTCAGCCGTCTCTCCAACCAGGAGATTCTAGCCCTCGACGCCGAACTGCAAACGTGGTACAAGAGCCTCCCTCAAGAAACAAAACAAGTTGACAATGCTCCTCAAAGGTTCCGGTTTGCCCGAGAGCTATTAAAAACGAGATACTACAACGCCCGGATCATTCTTGCGCGATCCCTTATACTCTACATGGCTCACGACTTGAAGCGTAAACCCGCAGAACTTCTCCCCGAGCAAGGCCACATTCTCGATCACTGTTGCTCCATTGCCGCAGAGGCAATCGACTCCACAGCACGATACTGGTCCCCGAACCGCATTCACGTGTGGCATTCCGCATGGTATCTGTTCCAGGCATGTACCGTGCCGCTGCTTAGCATTGCAATCAACAGAAATATGGAACAGCGTCAACAGAAACAAGTATCATCACCATCATCAGACAGAGTCGTCTCTTGGCAGACGAGCTTGGCAAAAGCGCTGGACACATTTGCCGAAATGCGGCCATGGATGCGAACATCTGATCGATCCCCAGATATAGTGTCTGCCTTGTACGAAGCCCTGACAGCTGCTGGGGAAGTAGACGGCCAAACGCCTTCTGCGACGGACGGGAGCTTGGATCTGTTTGGCTGGTGTGATGATCAGCTTACAGAGTTGGATTGGAGAGTGTTTCTAGGTGATGAAGGCTTGGCCAGGGGGATGTATCCAGTGTGAATTTGGTGCGGCGATTGAGACCTACCAGAATCTAGAGCAGAAGTTACACTGCAAGTGATAGGTCACATAGGTAGTCGATCATATTGCGAGTCTGCAGTCAGCAGATGCACTGCAGCTGTGAACAAGTCGCAGCCTTGTTTGTCAAACAAGCTTGCTTTCAACCCAACTGGAATATTTTTTAACCCACCCTGTTCACACGCCTACTACAAAACACATCTCTCGTCCGACCTTTGTCACCAGGACCTATAAGAGACATACGCAAGCGACACTCTGCATCTCCCGTATCCAGCATGGCACAACAAATCGAAAAAGTAGCAGTAGCAGCCGACATCGGTGCCGCAGCCACTGGCAAAGGAGCCTTTCTTACTTCTCACGGTGGCATGGCTGTAGAGCAGCTCAAAGATATAGCTGCAAATCGTATCATCCCCGCGGCTGTTGGTGCAAAGACGTTCCTCGCATCTCACGGCACCTCAGCCGGAGAAAGAATCAAAAGCATTGCCACCGAGCATCCCGTTGCTGCTGCGGTAATTGGTACCGGAGCCGCTGTTGTGGCAGCCCCAGCTCTCCTGTCTGCCCCGGCTCTGGCCGTGGCAGGATTCAGTTCTTCAGGCATAACAGCAGGTAACTACTTTCCCTTCAAATTTCATGCCCCTTATATCACAGCGCTTAGCAGCATATAGGATCTCTCGCGGCGACCGTACAAAGTGGTATTGGGTCCGTCGTTGCTGGCAGCGCCTTCGCAACTCTTCAGAGCGCCGGCGCCGGCGGAGCAGGTTTGGCGATTGTGAACGGCGTCGCACAGGGTGTTGGGGTTTGTGCGGCTACTGCAGGCGGGCTTATGGGATTCTTTGGTGCAAAGGGCGATGAGAAGGAAGCTGCTGGCGATGAGACAAAGAGTGACGAGGAACGGGAAGACCAGACGGAGACCCAGGATCTCTGATATTGTTCTTCTCACTAGGCATACCGGACTATGAACTAGTTGGTGTGCCAAGACAAGACATGAAGGGGCTCTATAAAGCCATGACTTGACGATAAGTCGTTTATACTGCCAAATACAAAGAATTGAAAAGAAAAGGAAATGCCAGGAACACCGTGTTAGTCCCGCGTTTATTCTATATAAAATCTACAAGTACAATGCTTTCTTTCTATATGCAAATTTACCCAGATACAAGCTCATCCCGAGCCTTAATCTCCTCTTTCCTTCCCTCCTCCACAGCCTCATCCCCATTCTTCGCTTCCACCTTTCCCTCCTCGGGCTTATGACCGCCCGTCACCTCCGTCACAACACTCTCCCCCTTCGCCTTGGCCTCCAGCTCCTTCTTGCTTAACCTGATTGCCCCCTTGGCCAAAGCCTCGGCCGGCAGCGGCCTCACAATCGGCTGCGCCACCCACACCGGCCTCTTGCACCTCCTCACCGTCGCCTTTGAGCTCTCGCCCTCAACCTCATCGTCCTTGCCATCCCCCAGGCTCTCTAGTTCGTCCTGAAAACTCTTGCCCTCCGCAGCTTCGTAGTCTAATAATTCTTTCGCGACCCGCCGCTCAACCGCCTCCAGGACCCTTTCGTACCCCTGGATGCCATCCCTGCGACTGCGTGCCAGCAAGTCTCGTATGTCAGTGTGCTTGGAGACAAAGTGTCGCAAGAGGTGGAACAGGTGAGGCTGCATAGCGACCAGATTCGGCGAGGGCTCGTCGCGCTTCCCGCCGTCAGTGTCCTTCTTGCGCCGCTTGTGAGGGCGCTCCTCGTCTTGTTGAGCCTCTTGCGGCTGCTCCTCCATCCAGGCCGTGTCGTCTCCCGGCACAAACAGGGGTCGTCGGGCGGGCGGCTCGACTCCGAGGGCGTATCGGTGCAGTATATCCAGGTAGCGACGCGTGATGGCATCGACTCGCCAGCCGCCTCTCCCGTCCTTCCCACGCCAGTACTCTCTCCCTTCTTCGCCGACAGGGGGGGCTTTGGCGAAAAGCGCGGGATCGCTGAGGTTGCCCTCGGCGCTCATGACGCCGTCTGCGCCAGTTGCCGCCAGGCACTCGTCGATGTCGCCGCCCTGCAGGATGTTGCCGTTTGCAAATATTACCGTCTCGGGAGGCAGGCTGTCCCTCAGGAACCTGAGCGTCTTCCAGTCCGCCACGCCCGTCAGGTGGCCCTTTTGCTCTCGTCGTCGTCCGTGAACGGTCAATATTGACGCACCCGCCTTCAAGACATTTTGCGCATATGCCAACGTCTTTTCTTTGTCTTCTAATATTCGAATTTTGGCTGTGACGGGAATCGACAGCTCCTTGTGCAGGGTGTTGATGAGGCGGAAAATCAGATCCTGGTCCTCTTGTAGGAACGCGCCGTAGTGGCCCTTGCGCGCAATGCCCTGGGGACAGCCCAGATTCAGGTCGACGGCGTCGCAGTATGGGCTGACCTGCTTCGCCGCGGAGAGAAGAGCCTCGGGGTCGTTGGCGCAGAATTGTACGAATAGAGGGCGGTCAATGGACGGGTTGCCGTCGAGCCAGGGTTCCTGGGAGTCGGGTTTCGTGGATTGGAAATGCGCCTTGCGGTACTTGCTTTCCTGGGAGAAGAGTCGGGCATGGAACATTGGAGTGTATGCGAGCATCTTCTTCTTTTCTTCGTCAGTGAGGAAGGATCGTGTAAGCATTCGCCAGGCCTGTAGATGGAGTTAGTCGCCTTGGGAATCACAATCACCGATAGAGTCCCTGGATCATTGGACACATACAAACTCGGATTGGTCCACCATGGGAGCTACAATATACTTGGGGCTCCCAATGCTCTCGTAAAACGCTCGTCCATGTAACTTTGACGCCGGAGTGGCGGGCGCATTTTGAGCCATCTCTGCCCCAGTCATCGTCGTAATTAGTCTGGAAACAGCTGGATTCGCAGTCGCAACGTATCTTCGAAGAAGAAAGTTGGAAACTTGGAGGAAAAGACCAGCTCGTTTCCCGGTCCTCTGCATAGGGAAGCAAGGGATAGTGCCCCCGAGTTGTTTGTGGATAGAGCGCAACGACCGCGTGCTGCAGATGCGATCGGTTTGTGATGCTGCGACGAAAAAAAAAATCGGGGCGAGACTTGTTGCGCCACGTTCAGCCAGGACAGCGGTGGCATCGGGGCCGACCCTTGTGGATCACACTAGCCACTCATGTGCCGACGACATTTCAGACATCTCGACGCTCCATATCAACATTTGCGCCCAACATGGCAATTGTTCTCGCGGGCCTGCTGAAACGGAGTGAAACAGATACTACACAGATACTACACGCATATATTTCTATTATACTATGCTCGTCTTCTCTCTCGAAATCGTGTAAATAGAAACGGCATCCCTAGAGACCAAAGACCATCATTCTAAACAGATACGGCAACGAAAGATAACTTCATTCAAACTCTCCACACCAATCGCTATACATCATTCGCTATTGTATTCTCATTGCATCCGCCAATGTGCATCCTTCAAGGTTGTGTTCAAATCCCGTCTCTCAAGTCTACCAACAAGCCTAACCTCGACTTGATGGTTTTCTTTCAAGCACAGGCCCGATTTCAGCGCCTGCTGAAACCTCTCTAATCTGTCCATGATCGCTCCATAGCGTAGCCGCAATATTAATGACATGTGTATGACTTTGGGGCTAAATTCCCGACTGACATGTTGATTTGTGACAAACTGAAAAACGCCATCGACACCGTACTATGCTGTCCCTGAAACGCCTGCAATTGTAAATGTGAAATGGATACATGGCTTGTTTAGGCCCTCAACGTCCCATCATTGGAAAAATCAATCAGCTAAAGCCGTTCCCCATGCTTGGAGTATTGCCGTCATCAGAAGAAGTGGGTGTAGATCTTGGAGTTCTCATGTACCTCCATTTCCTGCCAATCGCGTCAGTCTTTGTATTCCCGATCTGAGAACTCTGTTTGGCTCGCAAACTTACCATTTTAAACGAGTTGAGTTCTTCCTTGATCTGCTGTGCAAGCAAAGGAGTGAGCCGATTGCACGTGGCGATTTCTCCACGGCGATCATACTCCTGACTGGGCCACGTGTCATAAAAGATGATACGAGGCGAGAATGTGGCATTTCGCTTGGCAGGTGGTGTTCCCGACTGGCTGTCTTGGCGAAGGCGCAAAGCAGACATGAAGTAATCTTCGCTGCCAATGGCGATGGAACCGGCCCTCTTATGGCCCAGAGTCTCGTCATTGGGTGTGCTAGGCGCACTCGAGATTGGGGAGTCAGCAATGGCCGGGATGTTGGGGAGAACTAGGTCTGGGGAAGGACACCCGTCTGTGACTCTCACTGAAGGGCTTCCAGGTCCTATAACATAAGTCAGTCAGTGCCAATCGGAAGACGATGAAAATTCAACGGACAGTGGCCTTTGGCACATACGTTTCAAAATACCCTTTCTCACGGCGGCGAGCACTTCAGCGCGTTCCTTATCCCCACCAACAATGCTCTTACGCTGCTCCCCTGCGGAGCTACCCAGTCTTTCGTCCGCAATCTCGGGCACGTGAGCAGCATCAATTGAGTTTCGCTCGAGACGCGGGAATCCAGTACCCCCATTAGCAGCATGAGGATCTGCTGTTACGTTCACACGTTGAGCTTCGGCCTCCACTGTGATCATTGAAACGGTCGCCTGGCTGGCCTCCGGTGCCAGCGGTTCAGCGGCAGGAACGCCAATAACTGACTTTGGTCTGAAGAGGCCAACAAGGGATCGGGTGCTCTTCTTCATCCCCCGGCCCATTTTGCGAATCATAATTGACGCCGATGAAGCAGTGGAGGAGATGGAGAGGTTATCCGTAGATCCAAAGAATCTTCCACCATAAATGCTATTACCAATACCACCGGCCTCTTGTGCCTGGGCAATACGTGCCTGCTCGGCATCGTATGCCTCCTCCGCTGTTGGTTCTTTATGAAGCTTGGATGGTTCCGCCTTCTCCGCCTCTTCTGCAGCCTTTCGAAACTCGGCAGCACTGCCAAATGAGAAAGCTCGTCGTAATCTTGAAGTTTTGCTTTTGGTTTTGCCCCCTTTTTGGTTAAGCGCAGCCAGTTGTTTTGCGGCAGGTGACTCGAAATTAGTTGCGGCGCCAGACGCCGGCCCGGTGTCTTCGGTGGCCTCATTTGCCATCGTCGCCGGCTTGGATAGAGGCGAAGGGCTGTGAGTGCGCTTAACAACATCAGAAGAGGAGCCTCGAGGAGGGACACTCAACATCTTCTGCTGTTCACTTTTGGCAGTTTCATCACTTCCAGATAAAGAGGGGTTACTGGTGGGGGTAGACACATTATGGTTGGTTGCCTGCACGTCAACCCTTGTTAGTACAGACATCATGTATTCAAACGAGCTAATTGGGTAGGCGAGAACCGACGCGACGACTTACAGATGACCGCCTGGAATGGCTGCTGCGGGTGGATGCAACACTCTCCGAACTTCCATTGCGCGAATGGGAGTTGGTCTGCAAGAGGCGAGCCTGTTTTCCGTCGGCACTATCACGCGAGATTGGCCTCGTGTTTGAGAACTCTCGTGTGTCGATTGTGTGCACACTGCGTCTACGCATTCTCATGGCGTCATCTTGACCAGACTTCTTGTATTGCTGTAGGTCATCGATTGAAGATACAGATGCCAAACCTTGATTGGCGGACATGTTTGACGCAGAATATCTCCTGTTGGCTTGATACGCTTGACTTGGAGACACCATCGATGGACTGGGTGAGAGCGTGGTACTTTGAGAGCGACTATGATGAGAAGGTTGAACAGTGCTTGTTCGTCTGTATCGATCTGGACCACTCTGCTTGGTAGAAGACGAAAAGGAGGGCTGCGTGGAAACAGAGAAATACGATTGCGGCCGTGCTGTAGGCGCCGTGACTCGGCCGGGTGTCAGAGCAGAATCATCTCGCGAGCCACTATAACCTAATCCAAAAGAGTTCGAATGACCCATGGAGTTGGCGGATGGGCTGCTTTGTATGGCAGGGCGATAGTTGACTCCAGAATCATGGGACGGCGACGAGGGGACTGCGGCGGAAGGAGTTGTTCTGTATGTGCCGTATTGCTGCCATGACAAGGTTTGACCCAAGTTTGGCGTGCTAGAGAATGCAAAAGGCTGTCTAGAAACAGAGCCATTTCTGTATCCAGTAGACCCGTTAGAGCTGTAGGCAGATCTTGGAGCCTGTGAACCACCCATATTATATGGATGGTTACCGTGCGGCTGATTAGTCGTCATCATGCCACCTGTTGACGAAGGGCGAGTTTGAAGCATCGTGGCTGTAGAAGTCTGCTGCGGATACGTCTGCACCAATGCAGCCATGCTTCGGCTGTAAGACTTGCTATGGTCAGAAAGGATATGTTCGGTGTACCACGAAGACGCTCCGTTTGTTCTCTAGCTTCGGCAGGACTCGACTAGGGGAAGGGTAGCTTGGCTAATTTGCAGCCGTCTCGAGTTCAAAATTGAACCACACTCGGGGATGACTGCAACATGCACAGTTAGCAGTTGGCTTCAGTGAGAATTGCAGCGTTTGAGCAGGTGGACATCTGGTCAAGTACAATGGGCTGACTGCACCAAAGTGGGCATCCAAAGACGCTTCGGGGGGGGAAACAAACACGTTTGTTGCAAAACATGCGAACCTTTTCGTTTCGTTCACCGAGGATTTGCTATTTCTTCCGCTTGCTAACACGGACGAAAAAGAGTAACGAGGAGCTGGGTGGCTTTTTTCTCTTTTCTTATATAGGAACGAAAGAGAGAGTCGGGGTTCGGACGACGCAATCAAAGGACGCCAGCGACCAAACGAGTGTAAATAATCAAAACGAGTGTCTGTGTCGAAGAATCTTTACTCCAATTGGCAGGTCTGCCACAGACTTTTTTCGATTTCTTTCTGTTGATTTACTATTCGACAAGCCAAGAATCGAGTAGGAACAGCGGGCGTGTCAAAGTGACACAGTGGAAAATTGATCTCGAACTAACTTGCGGAGAACATAGACAGACGTTGCATCGACAACGGCCGCCTCGTGAGATGGATTAAGATATATGCTCTACCCCCCGTTCTTGCTTCGATGCTTGTAGCAAAGGGTCGAGAGGCTGTGCAACGATATTACAGTTTCGGCTCGGGGAACGGTAGCGGAGGCACGATACTAGAAGCTCGTGGGCTTAAGGACGCGAACAAAGGCGAAGGACGAGACAACGCAAGAAGGGAAAAAAATGCCAGTCGATGTGTGCGACGCAACGCTTAGAGACGGGGAAGCGGAAGAGAGAGATCGAACGGAAAAGAGAAGAGACGCGACATGAAAGTTGAATTCGGGAGAGGGGAAACGGGGGGGCTCGGAGGTGATGCAGCGAAGAAAGGGGGTACACGCCAGAGAAATTGAGATTCTGGCAGGAGTTCTTCGCGTGCCGGTGGACAGGGGCAGAGAGGTGGGTGAAAAAGGAAGGGGATAAGGTGAGTGGATCGAGAAGGAGAGATGATAATGGAGATGAAGATGAAGACGAAGGAAAGAAGAACAGAAAAAAAAACGTCGACACGACGGTGGTGGTGGTGATGGGAGGGATGGGAGGAGAACAAGTGCATGTGCCCAAGTGGACGGACGGACTTTCACGCCTTGGCCATGGGCCGGCTGGATGGGATGGGGTATCTGTGGAAAGGCCCAAGGGCAGACCAGTATTGTTGAGAAGCAGCCAGTCGACCACACAGCTGCAGATGAAGCAACAGCAGGCGGTGATCAGCAGCCGTCAGCAGGAAGCAGGAAGCGGTAGTGCTCAAGAGCCCAGTCAATGCTCTGTTGCAGCAACGCCTGAGCACCTGAGCACCAGAGCAGCGGTAGCAGAGCCCGTGGCAACGGCTGGCCGTGGCTGGGACCTGAACTAACCAGGCTAGGC